CAGAAGTTTTCAGAAAATTGTGGTGGACTATCCCTTTAATTACTTTCTTATTTTATTCTTCCCTGTAGCTATTTCTAGTTGTTTCTTGTCTGTCTTACACGTGCCTGTTCTGTTTTCCCTCAGGTGAGCGGTTGTTTCCTCTCATCCAGGCAATGCACCCCAGTCTAGCCGGGAAGATCACAGGAATGCTGCTAGAGATCGACAACTCTGAGCTGCTGCACATGCTGGAGTCCCATGAGTCTCTGCGCTCCAAGGTGACAGCCGTTAACTATGATAAAAGCCTCCAGTAACAGACACTAGCTCTGCTGATATATGCAATAATGGGAAAACGTCACAAGCTTTTAACAATGCAAAGCTTATTGACTGAACCAGGGACTTAATATTATGCGCTTATTTATTAGGATTTATGCATTGCCCAGCAGGGACTGTTCCTGAGATGTCATTTATAAATGACAATGGCGTTTTATCAGCTTATTAGAGGCATGAATCTCTGTGGTGAAGATGGTTTGGGGATTGCAGGACTGTTGATTTATCTCTGTTGTCAGGTGGAGGAGGCTGTCGCAGTGCTTCAGGCTCATCAGGCCAAGAAAGATGCCACACAGAAAGTGGGAGTCACTACTGCGACTGTAGCCACAACATCATGACGAGTAACTTTTCTTATTATCAGTAGTATTATAATTTCCATGCTTGTTGTTAGGCTATTTACTTGAATGTTTGAAATTATTATGAAAATTGTTTTCTGCAGGGTGAAGCTGAAAGGCTGAAGAGAGATCTCCACCGTCTGCTGTCGTCTGGTGGCAACCAATAAGAACACAAAAAATAAAACAAGAAGAAAAAAAAGAAAAATACAAAATTATACTTAAACATAAAGAATACAATTTTGTTGCAGGGCTTACATTTTTAACTCTGTAATGATTTTTATCACCTAAAGTTAATTTTAAAAAGAGGCAGTTCTGTGAGGGAAGAGCCTCTGTATTGTGGCCAGGACTGACTTTTTCTATGAGGAACTGGAAAACTTGGTTCTTCAGTGAGCTGTGTGTTTGCTGCTTTGATTGGACCTCACTTGTCCCATGACAATAACCGAGTGGTGTGGCACTCTAAATAAAGGGATGACTATTTAAAATGAAATATATTGTCTTCTTCTTTTTATAGCAAAGACAAAGGGCATTTTACAGACACTTTTTATCCAAAGTGACTTGCAGTACAGGTACAGTCCTTTTATAGGTTAAATTTTCTGCTCAAGGGCCCAATAATAACAGAAGTGTTAATAACATCCAATTTCACATTTAACTTGGACTAGTCTTATGACCAAAGCCATTTAATTCCAGTTTGCATCCTCTGAAAGATGATGTCTGTATCAAAGCTTCATAAACGTACATACACATACAGCTATCATATTCATACCTGTCAACCCTCCCGTTTTTCCCGGGATTCTCCCGTATTTTATCATTCTATCCCGCTATCATCCCGTTTAAATATTTTCCCGTATTTCTCCTGTATTTTTAATCTTTCTATTAAAAAAAATCCCACTGGGCTAATTTTATGTTTGCTACATTCGCTTCCGGTAAAACTCCCGTAATTTGTATGGGCTAAACCTCATTATATGAATAATCACGACAACAAATTCCAAGGTTGTCCAGTTGTCAGATCTTGTATGAAACGCATCTTTCTCACCCGATCGACGCATACAAATTTCAACCCATTTATCCCCCCAACTTGGCAACCTACAACAGGGATGTGTACTGCGGGAAGGAAAGGATCACTGGTAGAAATGGGACGGGAGGAGAAGACTCAAGTGGTGCTCCGGTGAAAAAAAAAACTAAATATACATGTAAATGTATATTTACATGTATAATGAGATATAGCTTACACATCATAATTGATTAAATATGAGCGCTGCAAGTTTCAAAGTCAGGTTCTGCGCTGTTTGTTTACTGCAGTTATGGGGGAAATGGCTATATTCCTGGCAGAGAATGAATTTGCATTTTTCAATAAGCCCTTCTGCTCTTTGTACCAGGGCTGGCCAAAAACGACCCTTATTTTTACGCAGAAAACACGCAGTTGTAAATGTGAACTGGTGGATCGACAAGAAGATAATGAATTA